ATAGTCTGACAGAATTTTTGGAACACAATATTAAGCTAAACAGAGAATGTAGCTACACCACTTTTATTTTACTACCATCCATTATAATTAGCACACAAAATATTTTGATTTAAGGGGGCCGACTATAGTTTTATTGTGTGAAAACTACAACAGTGAAACTCTTCATTTTTATACCATATATAACTTACATTAACTTCAGTGTACATGCAAAGTTTGGGGGAAATCTACCGTCCAGGTATTTTTGAGGGACCATCTCAAAATACAGGTACATTTACTATAGGATTATATAGGAAAATGCCAATTTTTAGCACTCTAAAGCAAATTATACAAATACTACAATAGACATTTTGTTCAAACTATATTTGATGAGTAATGCTATATTATACAATATATGCAAGAAACACAAAATTCTACCGTCTTGTTACCAAAGGGGGCATCTCAAAATGCAAAATATTAGCAAATTTTCCTATTTTTATAGAGTATTACAAAATACGACGTACACAATGGATTCACATGAAAACATAATAAAAATATTGGAGATATTCTCAAATTTCTATGTTTTTAAATTTCAAGAGCGTATGTTTATTACTTTTTCTTCAATAATATTTTTATTACCCCTTTCTTTAAGAGCTACAGATTATCATAACGTCAAAAACACACTGCAACGACGTCAACCTACCTATCAATTGTAAAATGGGTTAAAACAATCAGTTATATCAAATTGAAATTACATTTTTATACCTATCATTTCCTAATTTTGTTTAATTTTAATAATAAAGCGAAAAAAGTTGCATTAAAACAGTAAATACGTTTCATTTTACTATGATGCGCGAAATATTGCGCAATGGAAACTATAGTCGGCCCCCTTGATATATTAACATAGTGCAGAAAACGATATGCATTGGAGATGTGAGAAAATATGGAGTATTATTTAACGACGATTTTATTAAAATGTTTGTTGATGATATACTTCTTATCTTAAAGAACTTTTTCTATTTAACATTTAAAAAATTCAAATTTTAAGAAGAACATAACATTATATAAATGGTGCCTGTTTTGGGGGGTAACATTTGAAATTGACACCCCAAGGAAAACCATTGTCAACCGACGCGTCAGCGGAGGTTGACAATGGTTTTCCGAGGGGTGTCAATTTCAAATGTTACCCTCCAAAACAGGCACCATTTATTTTATTATACTGAATGTCTTATTGATTAAGGACGTCAGCAAAAAAAAAAAAAACCGTCGATCGTCTTTACGTTCATGTATAGAAAGATTTCACACTCACCGGTTCACTAATCTCCTTATTGTTTGTTTGATACTCGAATTAGAGTCATTTATCATATAAAGCTTCGTTATTTCTGGCTCGCAAGCATGTTTCCTACACTCTCAAGCATGTATCGTCTGTCGTTTGTTGTTTTCAAGTAAGCTTTATCGGACGCAAGCTTTTATTGACGTCAAGTTAATTCCGGTTCTTTCAAACGCGCAACTGACGTTTTGAGAATTCTACGGTGAACCGTACGCGCATAATTTCCACGCATGTGGCATTACCGTTGTGTTACCCGTTGTCACGTGTGTTGCTAAGGCTCAGGGTAATCGAACGGATTGTTAACTGCGTCTAAACCAATCAGATTTTAGTATTTAACATGAAAGTATAATAAATAATTATGTAATCCATTTTTGTTGGTTGAATTCTTTAACATACTCTGCATCGATGCACAGGGATTCGTATTTTCTTCTGAAATAGACACCTGTATGCTGAATCTTCGTCAATTCAAAAACAAAACAACAAACCCAGTGCAACGGTACTTAACAGTGTAAATGAGACGCTCAATCTCAGCATTAGGCGATCAAGTCTGTTGTGTATGGCGTTATCTTCTATCAATCGACAGGACTTCAATAATGTACTATCACCGTCAGATTGACTTTCATGAACGCCATCTTTCTCGTGGGAATTTTCGCTTTCCATGGCATCGATTCCCACTTCCGGATCATTTCTATCATGTTCAAGATTCTTGGATTCCATGTTGAAATTTTTGTCATGACCGTGATCTTTAAGTGAATGATGACCAGTTTTTTGTGGTGTATGCTCGAACCCTTTATTTTCAAATGCATGCGGATGAACATCCTCAGTTTGGATTGGTAACATGTCTGCTGCTTTGATGATCATGTGACTGCTTCGAATGACAATGATCGAAATGAATATGGAAAGTACGCTAGAAATCAAGTGGGCACAAAGATACAAAGACAGATAGGGAATATTTGTTGATTTTCTTGGCATATTTTCTTCAAAGAGTGTAAGAAATACGGTAAAAGCCAATAATATGGTCAAACAATAAGTCATTCTCTCGCCTGATGTCACAGGCAAACTGTAAGCTAGAGAATTGAGCGCGGCTAACAAAACAACCGGGAACACCGTACTTACCAAAGCATATAACGGCCGTCTCTTTAAAAATAAAGTGTACCTTACTTCCGTCATGTTGAATTCTGGGACAAAGACAGACCTTAAATCAGTTTTAATGAATTCCCATTCTCCATTTTCTGATATCTGTTTCATTTCATTTGGTCTTCTTTTAGGAACCAGTTTCTGCATCCAATCTGTGGTCTGCCAAGCGGCGATACGCAGTTCACATGCCTGCTTATCAAACGGAAACTTTTGAATGTCTAACAGACATTCCACCGTGTAATGGTCGCCGGGATACCAGAGCACCAAACCGTTAGAATAAACAGAAACAAAAGGATTCACACCCAGATCGTGCGTGTTGGTCTCCGAAAAGTACAGACTGATGTCGGGGACCCATACTTTGGTGTAAGGAATATTCACTGATTTAAGTCCAACAAACTCTTTTTCATTCCACGACAGGAAATCGTCGAACCACGTGACAATGAACCAGCCCATAAAGGTTATATACTGATACCGTTCCTCAACGTTCCTAAGTGAGTTCATTGTGAAGGTAAGATTGACCAGTACCGATTGCGTTTGGTCACGTCGGGGTTTGATAATGGAGCTGTAGTTCTGGAGTAGCTTCTTCTCCAGCAATCTAACGTCAGCACAGAAAGAAGTACGCAGAATCAGAACTACAAAGAATATTGTCTTCCAAGGGGTCATGATGTTTTGTCACTGAATTAGTGAAACAGAGTTTTTCAAACCAAAGTACCAAGTGATTTTAATTTTTTGAAACCCTTCTGATTGGCATGACAATTGTCAACAATGACTACGCAGCAAGAGCATAACAACCCAGCTAATGATGCGAGACTCAGCTGTGTGCGGAACTTGTTATACAGTAATTGTCGTAGTTTTTATCTTATTAAAATCCACAAAGACTTTAATATCCTGAAAAGTGTTGTATTTTTTCCTTGTACCTTCCTGTATTTCAAATAAGTGTATGACATAAGGGTATTGATTTAACCTAATGATCTTCTATTAAAAAGTTCAAAACAGAAATCTGCATCGTAAAGACTGTCACTATATATTCTTTGCTCATCAATGGCTTTAAACTTTTATATCTTTTGCATTCTTAAAAGATTTCATTAAACTTCAAAACACCACTGATATTTTAATGATGCTGTTTGAAATATCACACGATGCGTAAATTGACTAACTTCCGTACATTATCAAAACAATAGTCCGCCACGGGCATACAGCTTAGCTGCAACGTTAAAGAAAATCGGCTCATTTTTCTTTCAGGTATAAAACGCCTAAGCTAAAAATTCAAATTTTATGCCAGAGTGTTATATGTTAGAAAATGATGCTTGGGATATTTGACATTTAAATGAATAATTTTTGCACTCACCACGTTACATTTTTAATAAAATATGCTGCCCTTTATTAACCACTGTAATGAAGTGGATTTTTAAAAAAAATTTTGCCTCTCGATAATTCTTCATTCATATAGAGATGACACCACTGTAGAGTATTTCAGTCGTTCGACAAGACGTGGGGTTGCCTCTTTCTATACAATTTACATGTTAAACTTATAGGACTAATAACTTTTCTGTTTTATAGAATGATTTTTGTTGATTTCCCCCGCCCCAAATATATGTCCTGTTCACATAGAGAGTTTAATTCGCGGTAAATTAATGCGAAGTAAACTAACGCGAATTAAAATAATACGATTGAAAATGCGTTCACAAGACAGCTAAAGCGAAGTAAGCTAATGCGAATTAAAATTCTATTTCTACAAAAAAGGCTATTCAGTAAAGCTGTTATCATGTCATTTGTAAATGACGTCATGTATGCAGAGCCATCCGTTTGATAAAGAATCATACTGGATATAGGTATACATTAATTTTAATGATTAACATACTTTCCCTTGATTTTTAAACTAAATACAGCACAGATACCCAAATCTAACCACCAACATGTGTCCTGTGATTCAATTATGGCCTTACTGTACATAGCGTTCGCCCGGAATTAATACTAAGTAATTTAATGCGCAGTAAATTAATTCGCATTAAACTAATTCGCATTAAATTCTCCGTGTGAACGCTAAGTGAAGCTAATTCGCAGTACCTTGCGTTTAATTCGAATTAAACTCTCCGTGTGAACAGGACAATAATTTGTGCCCTATATAAATCATTACTTACATAAACATGGGAGAAAACATGCATCTAGTCCCCTGTTCACAAGACGAGTTTAATTCGCAATAAATTAATGCAAAGTAAACTAATGCGAATCAAATTTATGCGAATTAAATTCCGTTCACACAGCAGCTAAAGCAAAGTAAACTAATGCGAATTATAATTTTATTACAGTCAGTACAGCTATTTTTACGTCATTTGCAAACACGTCACCTTATGCAGAAGCAGATGCATTTGACATAATGTCACAGTGTGTGTACACACATTTCAGGGATTAACACAATTTTCCTTAGTTTTTCACTCAAAAATAGCACAAGTACCGAAAGCTTACCACCGAGATGTGGTATTTGACTTAATTTTGCCATTACGCATGCCTTAAAATTTTATAAGAACTAGCTTCGCTTAGCGTTCACACGGAGCTAATGCGAAGTAATTTAATGCGTAGTTAATTAATTCGAACTTAACTAATTCGCATTAAACTCCCCGTATGAACGCGGTTCAAATTTAATTCGCAGCAATTTACGTTTAATGCGAATTAAGCTCTGCATGTGAACAGGGCATAAGAATCAAAATTGTCTGAATAATTCAACGTAAACAGTCAGAGTTTGAACATGTCCTTGTATTTTATGTACATATATGTACATATACATCTACAGAAAAAAAGATGAACAGAGAGAATAAGAAAACACAAAATACTTATTACATGTTCACTCAAAATAGTTTTAAAAAAAAGTAGTACATAAAAATAATAATTACAATATACATATGTAGCACCTATCATCTACCTATATGATACATCTCAATAACGTATGTATTGCATGGCATTAGATTAAAGTGTCATTCTCTGCATAAATTTAACACTTCTCTAAAACAAAATACATGTCAGCATTAGTTATTTCTTCCTTTACATGCTCGGAATTCCTATCTGAACGTTGATTAATATAATAGTTTTCCTCTTTGTCTGTAAATGATGCAGCTTCTATTTTTTCTCCAGAAGGGGTTGTTTGCTCCCTATTTACCTTGTTTTTCGCCTCTTTGCCTTTTACTTTTTGACACGACACCGTTGTATTCTCCCTTTCTAACACAAAATATTCATTTGCTTCAAATTCCGTCATAGAGTCCTCATGCGTATAAATTCGATGGCTTCCTGTTTCTATCTTACTTCCTGTACCACCCATATGTTGTTTAACTTCACCATTCTTTTCACTTCTTTCATGTCCGTTTAATGTCTTACTCTGCTTGGGCATGGTATTATAATATTCAACATCATCTATAACTAACTCTTTAGACACAATTTTAGTCTGTTTCAGTAAAGATGAATTGGGTGGATTAATGTGATTTCTTTGTTCTTGTGATCTATTTTCTCTTATCCTTTTGAAATCTATGGCTTCCTATAATTCAAATAATGTATAGAAATATCAAAATAATCATTTCATTCTTCTGGTCAATCAACGCAGACATGTAAGCATCACCTTCAATACTATTTGTATTTAAATAAAAAAAAACCTGCTTCTTTCATTTACGTACATTGTTCAAAGAAGAAAAAACATTTAATTCATAATCCCTTAAAAGTCTTAAAGAATACATAACAGGTTGTTTATGCTATAATAAAAAAATATCGGGAAAAAGATTCATACCTATCTATTATCGCTTGATAAATATAAATAATTGTTAATTTAAGTTTCGTTTATCAAAGGAAAAAAGCAACAACAGAGAAAAAACAAAGATCATAAATAGATTAACAATGAAATCTAAAACGTACGAAATAATCACATTCTGGATTTTTAGTGTCCTCGTCAATATTCTTTGGCATCTTTCTAAAATGATAAACATGCATAATATGTATTTATTTTTACCGGATATTTACATGTAACAATTATTATTTTTTTCTTTCCTTAAAACGCAGAAAGGAAATAAGCATTTCATGTGAGAAATAATTTTACACTTTTGTGTTTTTCAGTTATCACTAACCTTTTAAGATACAAACAATATACAAGTAGGAATCCAGTAATGATAACACACAGTCCAGTCAGGCCTCCTAAAACCCCTCCGATTACTACTACGGACGCCATTAAAAACAGCACAATATCTGTCCAGCCTTATACCAGACTTTTATAACGGACCTGTTCCTGTTAATTTTCCCCCAAAGCTTCCGTTTATGTGAAGTGGGTGAAAAAAAAAAATTGATCTGTGGCTCACGACCTTTCAAAAGCAATCCGATTATGATTTCGGAGAAACATCGTTATGTGTCATTTTCATCTTTCTTTAAATGTGGCATATAGTTTTAAAAGTTAAAGGTCCATTTAAATAGCCCAAATAAAACTAAATAACACTCCCTCTATTTACTGCACTACCTGTTTACGGGTCATATCAGATATTTATCGATTTCAGGTGGGCATAAATAGATTCATTGAAATCCCATAAAACATTCCACCTTTGGTCAGTGTAAAGAAATATCACGAAAGTTTATGATCGGTTTGTTTAATTCATTTCATATAGTGAGATACAATATAAGGTTCAAAAACATTGGATTTTTAAGGAATTGATTGCACTTAACATTTTGTCCTATCAATTAAGGATTGTCTTTTTTGTCATTTCTATTTAATGCACGAGAAAGTTGAGGTAGTGCTTAACATGCATTTTTTTCTCATCAGTTCTGTTTACATTATGTTTCTTATCCGTTATCTAATTTGCTTAATAAACATATGATAGACTGAAAATTTTGTGATACATGTAACGGTTATCAAAATGAAACATGATATTGAAATAAAATTTAAAAGGTCCATTTGTGTCTTGTATAATCATGTAAATTGATTATAAAAAGTCATCAAACATTACTTTTATCTTGATTTAACTCATATAATAAATTTGATATCAAGCAGATATTTCGTTTCTTGTAATTTCTGTATTATTCTTCTTTTTGGATTTTATATGTGATATGTTTGCGGATTACTAATGTTCCTTTGCATTGACAAATCCCTACTTTGCGATACTGTAACTTCATATGCAAATTTACATTGTAGCATCCATTTTGATATAATGGAACTGTATTCACAATTTTACAATGTTTAATCTATTTTGTATAGGGAAACAGTAATTTGCATATCAACATTTTGAAATCCATTTTGTTATACTGAAACTATTTTAAAAAGTTTGTACAAGTTTATGATTTTATTTGATCAAAATATTATTATATTTTGATCAATAAACTTTTTTCAACACACATGTGAGTTTGTCTAATTTTGATGTGTAGGTAGGGAAAGAGGAGGTATAAATGCAATTTATATGTTTTAATGATTTTATGCAGACGAATGTACTGATTAGTCTTATATATGTTTTTTTGCATGAAATACTGAACCTTTAGGAGACCTCATGTAACTATTGCCCATGGGGAGCCCCTTAATCATGAAATCTCCGTATGCACATTTTGATTGGCTGAAAGATAACGTCTCTTTTGTGGCATCAATTTACCAAGAAGCACAGTCTCTACTGTCTTGAATTTCCCACCACCTCCCTTTCACAGTATTTGATTTTCAGTTTGTTATTTTATATTTTGTTGTCTTTAGTCATTGTAGTTTTACATGTTTTGTTTTGTAGATCCTAGTCATTTTTTAGGTGGGGCTTTTTTACCCCACCTGCTGCCACTAGTCGATTTTTGTGTAAATACACTTATCCGATACTTTTTGATACGTGCTTTATAGACATTCGTTATGTTATGCAGTTTTGTGGATATCAAGCAGATATTTTGTTTCTTGTAATTTCTGTATTATTCTACTTTTTGGATTTTATATGTGATATGTTTGCGGATTACTAATGTTCCTTTGCATTGACAAATCCCTACTTTGCGATACTGTAACTTCATATGCAAATTTACATTGTAGCATCCATTTTGATATAATGGAACTGTATTCACAATTTTACAATGTTTAATCCATTTTTGTATAGGGAAACAGTAATTTGGGTATCAACATTTTGAAATCCATTTTGTTATACTGGAACTATTTTAAAAAGTTTTTACAAGTTTATGATTTAATCTGATCAAAATATTATTATATTTTGATCAATAAGCTTTTTTCAACACACATGTGAGTTTGTCTAATTTTGATGTGTAGGTAGGGAAAGAGGAGGCATAAAATAGATTTAATAACAGATTGTCATATCGTCATATTATAGATACATGTATATGTATATGCATATGTACATGTTACAAGCTATTTTAATCATATGTTTGCTTAAAAAAGCTATTTCTAGAATAATTCGCACTGAAAGATAATTTTTTTCCTTATTAATAAATGGATACTATCTACATACAAATCTCGGACCCATAAAAGCAGAATAAATATATCACCGTTTTAATTCTGTATGTTTGGAATTGTTCAGATTTTAAACAAAAGAAATTATTAAGGTATTTTACGAAAGCAGCCTAAAACTGATATAGTTGAGGGTCGAAAGTGTTTAAAAGTTATGTTGTAATCAATATATGCGTTCTTACTTATACACAATTTAATACAGAATTACAATTTTTCAATACACAAGACACAATAATTTTACATGTTTAATATATTCTCACTTTCTAAATTTACATATGTGCAAGTACATTTTCGCAATGTTTCACAAAGCTGTATTATTTGCCAGATTGCATAATGGGAAAAAGACATTTGGTTATATTAATTCAACTAAGATGGACATTATGATAGACAAGTATTATTCGGGAGAAAATTATTAAAAATCGATTCAAATATTTCAGTTACTCAGCTTATCATCAAAAAGGAAGGATTACTAGTTATTTCCTATAAGAAAAAAATCAGGGTAAAAAAAGATTTAAAAAATGAAAATTTTACAGCACTTCTGTAATATATACATCTATGAAAAAATGAACGGCGATTTGTTTTCATGACTTTCACTGTTTTATTTTGATTTCACTTTGTACTTGTGTTAATATTTCGGATGTTCTTGCTATGTGGTAACCAGTCGGATACGCTCTTTGCTCTCTGCTTTTTTCGGACTTTGACGACCAGTTTTCGGTTTTGTTCCGGACTTCCGGTGTTAGGCAAAGAATAACCTCTCTCCCTGAAAGAATCTTGTCTATTTCTCTGAACTGTCAACCGACTAGATGTCTGTTAAAATAAAGATATATAGTAGATTCATAAATATACATAATATTATATTACTTCTAATATTCAAACAGTGGTGTTTATTTTAACGACATTTTCCTGTGAAATATGAACATTATGAACGATAATACCTATCTTGAAGAGGAATTGAGTATTTGAAAAATTATTTAAAAGTACATGTATGTGTGTGTGTAAAAGTATTTGGCCGGGGGATTTGTTAACCGCAAGAGAAGTGAGGGAATTAGTCCATAAATGTTTTGTGTACTTAGCAGGAAACAATTAGGTTCGGAGAACCTGAAGAATCACCCTCTGTAGAAACAAAGTGTCTGTAATGACATTTTAAAATACAATGCAAGTTTTTTTTTTATTATTTCATATTGTCAATATTCTGTATTCTGTGAATATCGTAAGTATTTCTTTGCGTAGGTATCTCTATTATTTTGATACAAAGTATAATATCCTTACACATTTCAATAAAATTATTTAGCTAGTACATTTTATCAAATCAAACAATACTCAAACAATTTGTAGTCTATGATGTATTATATATTTTATTTTCTGTTATAACTACGAGATATTATAATGAAATTTATAAGTTAACATGACACAAATAAGCCCTTTTAAAATATATTTATATATATTAGATATTACCTATGAATTTGAACATAAAAAAATGTATACATGACATACAGAAGAATGATAACTGAAAATAAAACCGGGGGGGGGGGGGGGTCAGAAACAGAATCTGAGGCATACTAGATCTGGTATACCATGCAAGTAAGCCAAGATAAAACAGCACCAAGCAAGAAACCTTGATTTTGAACTAACTCTAATTTTTCGTGACAAATGGACGAAAGGACTTCGTGATTCAATATAATTGATTTATAAAATTCTTTCCGGATATATAGAATCTTTGAAATATTAGATTTAGGAAGGTAGTAATTGTATAAAAAGCATATTTCAAATCAATTCAGAGTCAAATGATCAGGAAAAAAATATTTTAACAAAGTAGACCGAACAAAATACCTCTCGTTTGTTTTTCGTCTCCAAAAATGTCAGTTGTGAACTTTTTCTAGGTCGTTGTAGGTACTTTTGATTTCTTTTCTGATCATCAATGCCTACAGTTCTCTCAAGGCAACACAAACAGACAGGGTGCCTTTCAACAAACGGGTGAACTCGACTGTCGGTCGCCCACCTCGGTCCTGATATACAGCTAGATAATTCATCGACATGTTTAAAGAATTACGGTATGAAAGTATGGATTAACCGGAAACTGCGCAGATTTATTTATCTATTTATATCATTATTTGCATTTTCTTTAAATTAACATTCTGTGTTAACACAAGTAAGATAAATAATCATTTTATTTGCACACAATTTTGAAATATGGCATATTAGTTAAGGTCAAAGTACATGATTTTCCTCATAAAATTATGCCCAAAGTTTTGGCATTTTTTCGTGCACAAACTAAACTTAATTAAACTTAAATTAGCACACCTCTTTAATTGGAAGCAAAGCGATATTTTCAGGGAAAAAATAGTTTCCTTTCATCAAAGACAAATAGCATGACCCATCTTCAATTCCCTTATAAAGCCTTATTATCATAATTATATATTTTATTGAAAAAATAATTGAAGAAATTTATTATACATAAAAATGTGTATTTTCCTGTGTTTCCAGTGTTCATGATTTTAAAATTACAACCATTTATTGTATATAATGTTTGCCTTCAATATGAAAATCTGTCAGACTTACCCAAACATCTTTAAACAAACATACAGGACACAGCAGAGAATCAAAAATCCAAGCAAGCCAATTACAGCACAGATAGTCCAGAGCAGCCATGCTGGAACTGAAAAACAGGAGTTAAGAATGAACAGAGCTATTTATTAAACGGTGCTATGAATTCGAGTTTTTATTTAAAAGATATGGTGGCATAGTTCTGCTCCTTACATGCAACACAATTATATAAACAAG